CAGAAAGGGATTCCTTGTTTTGGGCTAAGTTGTAATGTTAGTGTCCTTGTATCTTTGTATTTTCTTCTTTCCTTTCTTGAAGTTCTTTGTGACTCTTGGAAGATAAGTGTGTTTGTCTTCCACTTGTAAATTTTCTACTGATGAATTAATGAAAGTGTTATTGATCAAAAAAAAAATAAAGATTTTCCAAACCTAGAAGTGAAACCCAACCAAAGTGGAAAACCCATTCAACATGGGCATGAAATGAGTTGGGTCCAGTGAAGGTCACCCCACTTAAGAATAAATGAAAGGAGGTACCATTGCCTTTATGTCTATTTGATAGGTCTGTAGATTCCCTCATGACAATGTCATGCTCAATACCCAGTTAAAATACGGTTGAAAATTGAAGAGCAGGATTCCATGAAAAGTGCAATATTTGGTCAATATTTCCAACTTATTCTTTCAATAAATAAACTGAATTGCAATATTGTTTCATAAAACTGTGAAACTGAAATAACCTTACGAAGCTGATCAAGAATTGCATTATCTGTTGCTTGTTCTCTAGCTGTCTGCTCCACTTCTTTACATCTCTGAAATAATGATTCTCTGACCTGAATGGAACAAAAGTTTTTAATCCTGAGCATGTTCTAGACATTAAAACTGAATTTATCTCCCCCCTCCTCGTTATCTGTGTGTGCATATAGACAAAGGGGTTACCTGTTCCAATGTACTGCACCCGGGAAGAAGCCTATCGGCTAGAGAGTCATCCAATTTTGGCAAATCTCTATAAAAAATTTCTTTGCATTCAACCTGGGAAGGGAATAATTAGACAAGATAAATATATTTTCCTTCAAAAATCTGTCAACTTTATACAATAACATTTATGATAAAAGATCAAATTTGTAGAAAATAATCTGTACCCAAATTTCTCCCCCCTCCCACCTTTCTCTTGTTAACTACTTAGGAACTCACAGTAAACTGAGCATGAATGCCACGGAGGCTTTCTTGGGTCCATGACTCTGGAAATACAAGTTGAAAATACTTTGTTTCACCTTGTTGAATCCCAATTATTGAATCAAGAAACCCAGGCAGAAGTTTATCACCTTCTTCTGTATCAAAATGAAATCCTACAAATGGAAACCAATTAGGTAAAAATTACTTCTAGAACTTAGGATTGTTATATCCTTTAACTGCAAGGCTATGAGAAAACCATCTAAACAAATCATTAATGAATGGAAGCATCCCATAGACTCATCATGTACAAAGGAGTTGATTGACAATGATAATCATGATTGCTTAACTTGTTCTGAGATTATTTCCAAGCCCCACATATGATGCATACATAGAATGTTAACAAGAGGAAAAGTTTATTTGCTTCAAAAGTTCAGTTAATTTTGAAAACAAAGACCTTTACAACAGAGAGCATGTTTAAGTCATGGAGGATATGAAGTAGTCATCTTCCACAGTTATTGACAGGAATTGGACCCACAATCTTCATCTGATAGGTAAATGCTGATCCATTTGTAGAACCTAATAAGCCAATGTGATGATTTATAAATTATGGAAGAATATAACATATCAGATGGTTTAGAACTTATGAACCAAACAGTTGTTCCATTCCTCTATGCACATTTAAGACAGCACCAGGAAGGATATCTTTTCTTTCTTTATTTTTTTTCCTTTTTTTTTTTTGGGGGGGGGGGGGTGACTAGAAAAGAAGTAGATAGGATATGCAGCAAATCAGATAGTCCTTTTAGTAAACTAATTATGCAAGCCAACTCCTTAGAGGCTTGCACCATTCCACCCTATCAACTTCACTATTGCCCCAAGATTATCAATGAAATCCAGAGACATATTTCCCTCGCTATCTGTTTTAAACAAGGTAAAGTACGTATAATATTAATTTGTTAAAAGTATATCTATACAATTTAGCACATCTTCATTAAGAGGATGCGCAAAATATGTGTTAGACATTGTTCCATTCTTTCCTGAAAGGTCAAAGTGATCTCTTCAAATTGAGTCCACAATCTCCACAATATTTCATATGATAATATCTTCTTCAATGCAGTCTACGGCCATCTTTCAGTTGCCTTCAAGTCAGATATGGCGAACTCCAATTCCATTACAATAATAACACTTTCACGAACAGACCCTCCTTTGACAGTGTTGGCGCTAGTTTGGCCAATGTTAATAGCTTCTTTAGATCCTCTGAATAGTGTGTGGAGTTTCATTTCCATGGGACTATTTTCATATTAAAGGATACACAGTGGGAATGGTCCATTATATGTTTATATTAATAGCCTTTGTTATTTATCATAAAATCCTTTCTTCTTCAGCCAATCAATCTAGCTGTACTTGATTCAGCAATTTTCATGAAAACTACTTACCAACTATATTCGATTCAGTGTTCAGCTAAATTTTCATAAAGAAAATTAAAATATGTCAGGATGTTATGCATGAAGTTTCAAAAAGAATTCTCAAGTTGGTCCCATATACCAAGTTCCTCTTTACAAATGACAAAATGGAAGATATTAAGAAGTGATCTCATAACGTTTTAAGTGGAAAAATAAATCTTGTGGATTTTATGGGTTAGGGTTCATATGGACAAACCTTTACTCTCTGCAGCTGGAATTTGTCGAGCATTAGATTCATCCTGCTCAACTGTTGTTGCAGATATATCAAGGACAACAACATCACCAATCTGTGAATTTTCAAGATAGACTTTAGCCGTAGGATCATTTTCTTTTCTCCTTAAGCAGAACTCAGTTACATTGAAGTTTGGGAACAAACTATTGGAGCAAACTTCTTATTGGGATTCTTAAAATAAAACCATTATAAGCACCACTTTAAAGTTAAGCAAAATATAGTTTTGAAATGAAACTTGGATTCTATAGGGTTTAATTTCCTAAACATGAGAGAAGGAAATTACTTGAAAAACCCAGAAGCTCAAAATGTACAAAAATATACATATAGTGATAAAAAACTAAAATTTGTGTAACTAATTAAGAATATTCCTCTATATGTATAACATTTTAATAACTTAAGCACATCTGCCCATCAACTTGGACTTCCTTGTTTACATAACTACCTAGAAAATCCTTTTCACTCTCTATCTCATATTCATCATCATTCAGGGTGAAGAAATGCTAGTTGACCCAGAACGAAAATTGCAAGCATAAAAAAATACATTTGAAATGTAACTGAAACCAAATATACCTGTAATCCTCTATCAGTTACAATTCTTAGTGAACCTAGATTCTTGTGGCGACGCCTTAGCTCTTCTTCAGAAGCCTTTTGAGCATCTATGTCACTGTCTATCCCAACAACAATCTTCAAGTCCTTATATCCATTCTCAGGAATCCATTTAACCTCAGGTGCAACGTCGACCACAACATCATATCTGGAGCCAAATACATCAACAACTATTTTAGATTCACAAACAAATAGAGATGATGATAATTGCACATGTGATGACATTTAAGATTCCAAGAACTAAGAGATAAAAACTTGACAAACCTGAGAAAACCTTGAAGAGAATAGGCTTCCTCCAATTCAGGAAATTTGGTAACAATGCGAACGGAATCTTTTAAGGCCTTCCCAGTCACCTGAAGGAAAGTGGATCAGGATAGCAGCTAATATGCTTAAACAATCAGTTCCCTGATGATTGGCAATAATTTTAGAAGTTCATACTTTCTTGTTCTCTGTCATAATATTGAAAATATAAGTAAACTTGGAGCATATAATTAAATAATAACATAATAAAGTTTTCCAATATTCTAATTGCAATTGATCATAAGAAAAATGTCTGTTTTTTGATATGGAGAACCATATGTACAGCATATTAGATCAGCATAAAAGAATGATAAACACAATCTTTAAAGCTAAACGTAAAATGGACATAATTTTTTTAGAACGAAATAGTTCAGTTATTATTTCTGCCCTTTCCACATTAAAAACTTTGTTTCCATCCCTTCTAATTTGTGAAGGTATAAATGGCAAGGAAAACAGGGTTTTCATCGCAAAAGGGACAATCATATAGCCCAAATATTTCAGCCTGAAAAATTAATAGCCAGTGCTCAAGCAGAAGAGAAAGAAACCTGCATTCATTTATTTAATAAAAAATATGGTCTCTGAGAGTGGAATGATGAAACATGATTTGTGCAGTCAACCTATAGGTGGAACCAGGAAAAAAAATTGAGTGGTGGGGCAAGTATATAATCTAAAAGGGTATATAGTTTTCACTCTATATATGTAAATACAATTTTCATTCTTTTTTTCTCCTGGTTGTGCCCCTTTGCTGTTCCCATAGTATTGAAGTTAAGACAGAAGTACATCATAGGATTATGAAGACATATATTCTATTTATTTTGGTCAGTCATGGAAGATGCTACAGCTCTAGAACTAATTCAGTTACCTGGTAGAATTTTATTAACTACTTACAACTCCATAAAAATTTACAAAAGATTGCTTTCCTCCAAACACACACACACACACACAAAGTACTAAAAATTTTTTGAAAATTAAACAACTTCCGACAACTGAAATCATCATCATCTATGCCTCATCCCAATTATATGAGGTTGGCATAAAAGGGCAGACCAGTGCATGAGGACCAATGCATGGTCTGGGGAGGAACAGATGTACGCAGCCTTACCCCTGCACATACAGAGAGGCTGTTTACAAGATTGGAACCCTGGTCAGATATGTCACAATGGAGCAACCCAACCGTTGCGCCAACTGAAATAATAAGGAGAAATATGTAATTAATGTGATTAACAAAAAGGAAACTTAAAACTTAGACCCAAAAATTTAACTTACAAGAAAAGGCCAACTTATTCCAAAGGCAAAGGATACAAAGAAACTGATTAAAGATGTAACATACCGATGACATTGCATGTGGAAGGGTCCTCTTCAGAATAGATTCAATTGTAGCTCGCTGAACATTCTTTTTGCCAACATAGTTTACAAGGATAGTCTCTGGAACATTCTTTCCCGGGCGAAATCCAGGTACCTGAGCATACAAGAGCAAACTGTAATGGCAACTTGGCTTCTTTTTTCTCATTACTAACGGAAAAATGAATAAACAACCAAGCATGCAGGCAGGGGTGCTAAGAATTATTGAGCTTTTAGTGGATTGACACCAAGCTCTAAGATCTCAAAGTTTTCAGTGGATTGATCACTACGCCTAACCCTAACCCTAGATCTCAAAATATCGCTTTTTTGAAAATGTGGAAACTTCTAGCGATAACTAGAAATGGCTTTTCATGAGCGTAGGACGTTGTTGGATTCAGCTAGACAGAATAATCAAGTAATTACTGGCCTCACTGAATTATAATGCAATACTGCATTACAGATCACCAGGCATATCGAATGACAGCTAAAATAGCCAAGGACAATCATTGAACTGAACTAGAAGTACCTTTGACTGCTTCGTAATCTCCATGATGACGTTTTTGTAACAATCCTCGCATACAACTGATGGAACTTTCACAGTTAACCGTACCTGCAGAAAACACCAGACATTAAAGAACAGAATCTGGGCCCGTAATAGCATATAATATGAAAGGATTTCTTCTTATCCACCGTTCAGTTTATGAAAAAGAATGGAGACAATGTATACCCATATCAGAATTTGACAGTTCCTGTAATAAACAAAAGAAAGGGGAATCCCCAGAACACGTGAAAAGATATAGAATATAGACTGCATTCTGAAGCTCTGGAAAGAAACATCAAAGTGAACATTTTGAAACGAGAAAACAAAACAATTGCGTCTTTATATACAGTATATGAATTAAATTTAGCACGTAAAATTAACATTTTCAGTGATAGGCAAACAAGAAAAGAATTCAAATTCCGAAACGGTGAAAACAAGAAAAGAGACTCACTCTGGAGCTGGGCTCCTCGGTTTCTGTGACCTCAATATCAGCCGGCAGTTTATCTTTGTCCGTGTCGAGAGCAACTGCCGATGCATGGATGGAGCGTTGAGTTTGAGCCAGGGTCCTGCGAGTTGAAGATATGCGAAGAGAAAATTGGCGGGAAGCGAAGGTAAGTCTCTGAAAACTGGTAAATTCCCTGATGGGTCGAATACGTTCAGAGAGAGGAGTCGAAGCAGAGAGGCGAGAATTATGAAATAGAGAGGGTTTCAAATTTAAACGGAGGGTTGTGGAACTCAAGAGATCCATTTCCCTTTCAAAAACAGTAGCAGCTTATTAGACTGCTCAGTTCTCCGCAGATAGAAAGCAGTGAGAGCTCCGTTTTAGGTGGCCTAACAGAGAGAGAGAGAGAGAGAGAGAGAGAGAGAGATGAAGAAGATACACGAATTCGGATAGGACGGACATTCTCCTTGGTATTTCTCTAGGATAAGAAAATATCGAGGCAACGTAGACGGCGCCACAATGCACGCATCGCGCCATTGATGCGATGGCCCCGAAGTGCATAAATGTCGTCCACGAAAAGTCCATTTGATGAACGGCTGAGATTGTTACAAGATCCGAGTCCATCAAAGTGCTGAATCAGCTGATCTTGAACTACTGAACAGCATTATGCTGCGACTTAGGACTTACGTGGGCCCAACCCTAAGCTTGATCCATAAACCTGTTCATGGGCCGAGTGGATTTTAGGCATGTGGGCTCAGGCAAGAGTCTAAAATATCGGGAGCCCAATTTGGTAATGTATTATATAATAAAAAAATATATTTTTTTCAAGTAGTAGTGAAATCTTTTATTATTTTTTTTAGGTTTTAAGGTCTTTTAATATAAATAAAATGATTATTAATAGAATAAAAAAAGAAATTTTTTTCTTAATTTCTAGTCGGGCTTGGCCCCGATCTTGGGCTTCAGGTTTTATATGAGGGCCAAGCTCAGGCTCAAAACCTAGGCACGATGGTAAGGTCGGGCTCGAGCTCGAGCCTGAACATATTCTATTAATATAGAGGCAAAGCCTGATCGCCCAACCCAACCCGAAAACTAGCAAGGGGCGCATGTGCTTGGTAATACCAAATAATTGAGAGAATAAAAAGTAAAGAAAACTAATAATAAAAGTTGTACTTGTAGAAATACAAATTTTATATGTATGAGAACAGACCCATTAAATCATAGGAAATGAGTACAAATTTTAACTTGATACATATCCAATGAAATTTAAAAGAAGATTAGCTAATGAATAGGCAGCCAATACCAATTTGGTTAAGCATGGGCAAAAAAGACATATAGAAAAAAGTTTAAAATAACAATTTTATTTGGATATGGTGTCTTAATTATATACAAATAAGGACATAAGTGTAATAAGAAACAAAGTCAACCAACCAAATTACATAAAATGGAATAATCCATCAGCATTGCCTGATACAAAAGATCGAGATCAATAAAAAAAGAAAAGAATAATATTAGGGGTTCAGTACAGAAAATAGCCTAAACTCAATTGCAATTAATTTTCCTAATTTTGACTCTTTCATGCATATTTAAATACAAAATGAATAGAATTAAAAGTGGGATTCCCCAAGTTCCCTAAATTTGGTTCCAACACATAGTAGTACAGTTATCCAATAATTTTGAGCTCCTTTTTTCTTGCACAGGTAGCTTGGGAACATTAATGTCAAAATAAACAATTAAGTTTACTTGTCCTAGGAAATAACCAGCATGGATATGGTGAGATGCTATTAATTAAGTTTACCAGAATTTCTTCTTTCTTAAAACAGAAGTAGAAGAGGATATATACTCCTCCCTCGAACAAAAGAATCCCTAAATCATTGGCAAGAAAGAGATAGCCAGCAAAGCAAGAAAACAATGAGCAACTTTTGTTTTGCTAGAGAAAACCTAGCATTGGAAATGGAAAACAAAATACACACACAAAAAAAAAAACATCAACCGAAAATACAAAAGACAAAACCCTACTTCAATAGTGGTAGATCTTCGAATGAAACATCGGTTGCAATCATCTCCATAACATTTCATGGGCTGGTGTTAAGAGATGGTTCTGTTAATTGGGAGTCATTGCATTCAATTTGACTCCGGATCTCCTGCCCACCTCTACCCTCAACACATTACCCCCCCTCCCCCATGAATTTGGAACATCTCTCCTTGCATAATACTATGCAGAGGATGAGATGTTCTCCATGCGTGGCTGCAATAAACATGGGTAGAGTTTGTGTGGACAGGAGATCCAAACTCATTCAATTTCTTAATAAAAAATGAAACTGATTTTGTTGTAAACAACCCATGTTTAAATATTAAAAAGAACTACAAAATTCTAAAGAGATCGGAAAGCACAAAAGAGAGTAAGTTGATGTGGACAACTACATGAAATATAAAGGGTAGGGTTACAACTTGGGTGAGACTAACCCGATCCAACCCAATTGGGTTTAGTGTTATTAAGTTTTAGCTAACTTTAATTATTTTATAATAGATTCTTATTTAAATTATTTTAGTGGATTTTAAATTAAACATTTCTAAAATATATTTATTATAATTAATGATTTTATTGTATATTATTATTTATATTTTTTAATGAAATTAACTTATATGAAATTGGTAAAAAGTAAATTTGAAACAAATAATTCTTACAATTTCAATAGTTTCTAATAATTCACCCATAATTAAAAATGATTTACTGTTAGTTATTACAAATAATATAATGATAATTATTGTTGTAATTTTTACAGAATTTTGAAAATTTTAAAATAATTCGTGAATAACATAATTACTATAATACTGGAATTTCCATAATTATCAAAATACAAAAATAACCAAAAATATTTTAAAACTTACTCTTATTATTTTTTATTTATCAATATTTTTTATCATAGCAATTAATTAATGATAAGTGTGGTAAATTGAAATAATTATCATACATTTTTGTTAATTTAATAATTTTCACAAATAATAGTTACAGATAATTTACAACTTAAAATTATATATGATTATTTTTAATAATGACTAATAAATTGATAATATAAATTAATGAAATTACCATCATTATGAAATTATCAAATTATTGCATAAAATTATAATTATCAATATTTTCAATAGTTTTTTGTAATAATTGTAAAATCATTTTAAAAAATACTATTATTAATTTTAATTATTAATAACCTTATTAGTTTTGAAATAATTTTACAATCATTAAGGTAATTACTAATTGATGGAGGGTGATTTGGCCCGACCTCGTAGCACGGGTACACTTGGGCATGACCTTGCTCAAGCGATGACTCAGCATGATAGCACAGCAAGCGCAACCGCAACTCGGTGGGAAGGGCTCACCGAGCTTAGTCTGGAAACTCGGCGGGTTAGGCTACTCGCCGAGAGCCGCCTGGCTTGCACCTCCTTCCCAAGGCTGAGGCATTTCGAGCTACCTCCGAGCTCGGGGCCCCCTGACCTTTCCTAATGCCCGAGCTCCTCCTAGTGGATTTTAGGCCACTCCCAAACAGGAACACCCCAATCCGCCTCTAGATACCCCGAGGTAGAGACACCTCGGGCCAAACAGCTCGGTGTAGCTTGCCACAGGCAACTCACCACTCGCAAGGTAGTTCGGTACCGGGTAGCTCGCAAGAAAGCAGTTTGACACATCATAGGAAGGCCTTCTGCCCGACCACCGTACCTGACAAACCTGGAGACTGCAACCACATCTCTCGTCAGATAGTGTCGTGCCCGCCACCTTTAGAAGGTGTCTTACACTTGACAGGTACGTACCCTGCAAGGACAGCCCCGCACGTGCCACCTCAGCCCTAACTGTAACGACTGCGGCAAGATGATAGTGGCGGTTATACCTGCCCTGTCAGAGGCAGGTGGGCCTGATTCGACAGAGTTCTATTATAAGTAGCCCAATCCCAAAGGATAGAGGTAACTTCTGATACTCGCGTTATCTGCACTCTTAGCTTTCTTCCTCTCTTTGCACCTTTCACAGAACTCTAACTTAAGCGTTGGAGTGTTCCCGTCGGGCAAGCCCCCAGGAATCCCTGATCTTCTCCATCTTAGGTACCTTTCAGGAGCCACGCAAGTGCCAACTAGGAGTGACCGGATTGCGCACCATCACTAATAATTATTAATAGCCTCAACAATTTTGAAATGATTTTACAATTATTTCAATTTGATGATGTAATAATAATAGCATTAACAATTTGAAAATTATCAGATTATCAAAATTATTATTGAAATTAAAATATAACATTAATAATTTGTAATTAAAAGTTATCGTATTATCAAAATTATTGTTGTAAATTTTTAAATAATTATTGAATAATAAAATTAGTTACTTACTATAACTACTGAGATTTCCATAATTATCAAAATACTAAAATAACAAAAATGTTTGTTAATTGTAAATTATTATTGACATTACTATTTTTCTCACAACTAATAATTTTCACTAATTACACCAGTAATTTAAAAATTACAACTAATTTTTAAGGATTTTAAAAAATCATTGCTAATTATTAGTAATTCATAAACCCGATCAATAAAATTGTGCAAGCCTGGCGGCCCGGCCCAGCCCAGCCCGAAAACAGGTCTACGACCCAACACAATCCGAGTTTATGCCAAGTGGGATCATCTGTTGTTTTTGTACCCCTTAGGTGTCCTAAGTCCTCCCATTTAAGGACACACCTGTCCATTTACAAAATCTCAATTAAATAGATTGTAATCTCGGTTAACCTTCGGTTAGTTAGAACAAAAATAAAAAGAATCCACTCCAAAAACTAAATGTTGACCACTTGCCCCCATTATATGCACATCTCTAGAAGGAAAAAAATCCCATCCAAAAAAGGAAATTGAATATTCTCACTCTCTCTTTCTCTCAACAAACCATCCTTCTTCTTCTCCTCCTCGCTTCTTTTATTCAAGGTCTTTAGTTTATTTAATACTATGATCTAAGGTTTGTCTACACCTTCTGATGTCTATATATTCTTGAGTTTAACTTTCTCTTCTAGTTAGATTGAAAGTGGTACTTTATTATTGTTTTGGAGTTCTATTTCTACTATTGATTTTCCCTTTCAAAAAAGATGTTTTAACCTGTTTTTTTTTTTTTAATTTAAACATTGATTTCCTTGTTGATGATTATATTGTTTGTTAAAACAAACAATCATATATAATAGGAAAATTGTCTAAAACTCACCATGAGTTCTCCACATTTCCCTTAAACCCACAACAACTTTTCAAAATGTCTAAAACTCACTATGTTAGTAAGTTTTTATTTTCTAAAACTTATCTTTTGTTAGTGCACCGCTAAAGCTTCTTAACAGAGGCGTCCATGTCAGCATAAATAATAATTTTCATGACCAAATTACCCTTGAATGGCGAGCTAGAGGAAAAATGGTCTTTTTCAGTTTTCATTTTTCTTGTTTTTTTCCATTTTTAGTGTTTTGTTATAATTTCAATTGTTTTTTATAATATCTGTTTTTTACATTTTCTATTTTCTACAATCTATAATTTTTCCTGTATTTTTTGTTATTTATTTGTAATTTCTGTGTTTTTCTATAATTTTTGGTGTTTTTTCTACAATTTTTATTTTCTGATTTTGTTTTTCAATTTCTATAGTTTCTATAATTTGAAAATAATTTTTTATTTTGTTTGCAATTTCTATAATTTTTTATATTTTTTGTAATTTCTATGTTTTTNTTTCTATAATTTGAAAATAATTTTTTATTTTGTTTGCAATTTCTATAATTTTTTATATTTTTTGTAATTTCTATGTTTTTATGTATCTCATATTTGAAAATATTTTTTGAACTTTTTCCATTTTTTCATGTCTAAATATTAAAATGGTAATATATTAACACCCGTTAATTTATTTTGTATATATTTTATATTTTTCTATGAAGGTTAAAATGGTAATATATTAACACCCGTTAGTCTGTTTAACGTCAAGTTAGTGATATGATGAGTTTTAGACAATTTCCCTATATAATATAATTTGATTGTCTTAGAATCAGGAGAAGTAATAACAGAGAGAGAGAGAGAGAGATGTCTATTATGTGTGAGACAATCATTTAGTGGGGACGTGGCCTTTTTCTTGCCTCATGCCTAGGGACGGTTTTCCATGGAAGGAGTTTACTTTTGCAAGATGTCTGTTACGTCCAAACCTGGGTGAGACAATGGTTGGCTTTCTCCTTTCACCTTTCAAGTCTGAAGTTTTTAGTTGCGATTGCCATGGAAGGGGTGACTTTGGCAATCTTTTTCTGTGTATCCCCATTTTTGGGAGTTTCTTGATGAGTTTTGACTTTGTTGGAGGTCGGTCCTCCTTTATTGGTGTTTCCATCTTTTTGCGTCTTTTGCAGAGTGCTTACAAGAAACTTTGTTATCTTGTCTTATTGGTATTTATAAATACAATTGATGCCTTAACCGCTTGACGAGCAAGTGGCAAGAACCAAGACCAATATCAAGAAATGGATGCCAACTGGAGAAGTTAGTTGGCACGTGATCTTGATGTCATAATACTCCCCCTCAAGTTGGAGCAGGAGGTTGAATGCCCAATTTGGATAAGAGAAAAGCAAATTGATCATGCCCCAAGGCTTTCGTGAACAAATTAGATGGTTGTAACTTAGAGGCAATGTGATTTGTCGCAATGGTGTGGGCTTGAAGATGAGAATGGACAAAATGACAATTAATCTCTATGTGCTTTGTCCGTTCATGAAAAACTGGATTGGCGGCAATGTGTAATGCAGCCTGTTGTCACAGAAGAGCTGCATGGGCTGTGAATGTTGTAGTCCAAGATCAACAAACAAGCGTTTAAGCCAGAGTAACTCACTTGTAGCTGCCACCATTGATTTGTATTCAGCTTCGGCAGAAGAGCAAGAGATGGTTGGTTGTTTCTTGGATTTCCATGACAGAGGGGAGGAACCCAAAGTTGTAAAGTAACCGGTTGTTGACCGTCTTGTTGATGGGAAATTTGCCCAATCTGAATCACAGTATCCTCATATGAGAAGATCAGATTTAGAAGATTCAAAAACTGTTGGTATTGTTCCATTGTGAGGCTTGCTATCGGTGAAGAATCAGAAGTGTTTGAAGTATGTAAGCTTGACCTCGGAGTGTTGGTGTTATTCTTTTCTTGATAATGGGTTTTCTTCATGCCGGATCTTCCCTTTAGATCCCAACCAGGAGGATAACCAATGAGTTCGTAGCAGCGATCTTTGCTGTGTCCTGTCTTTTTGTAGTGATCACAACAGAGCTTTGGTTGATCTTTGGCAAATTGGCATTCTTGGAACCACCTTTGGCCTGATCAGTTACATGGAAAACTATTGCTTCAATTGTTAGGCTTTGTTGCCAAGTAACCAACTGACGTTTCTCCTCTTGTGTAATCAAGGCATATGCCTTGCTCACATATGGGAGTGGCTCCATTCCAAGATTGTTGGAGCGAACAGTATTGAACCGGTCATTAAGACCCATGAGAAATTGGTAGATGTGACCCTTCTCGCATTTTGCTACTAGATCTTTCATCACACCACGGGTGCAACAAGTACAGACTGGCACTGGAATATAAGTTGAGAGTTCATCCCAGATCGCTTTCATCTTCATGTAATACATTGAAATAGAGAGGTTGTCTTGTCTGAGTAGAGCTAATTCCTGTTTTAAATTAAAAATGCAAGGAGCATTTCCCTACGAGAATCTCTCTTCGAGATCTAAACAGATTGCGCGAGAATCATCCATGCAAGCAACGCTGTCATGTAATTCTCTAGTCAAGGCATTGTAAATCCATGATATGACCATTGAATTACATTTCTTCCAGGCAAAAAGCTCTACTGGTTTTGTTTGATCTGGCTTCAAGATTGTGCCGTCAATAAAACCTATCTTATTTTTTGCCCAAAGAGCATTCGTCATTGCTCTTTTCCAAATCGGATAATTGTCACCGTTCAGCAAAGTGGTGACCAACACCATGCCAGGATTGTCTGAGGTGCCAAGATAGTATGGAGACATAGGATTAGAGTAGTCTGTGTCTTTGATGTCCGTGTTTCTACACGCCTTGCTTCTAACAACCATCTTCTTGTGATCTGAAGAAGAGCAGAGTCATCAGCGTTATTGAAGAGACCAAGATGCAACAATGGATTAATAAATACAATGAGCAAAAGTGTAAAGCTCAACGCAACTTGTGATGAGAAAGAAACTTTGTTATCTTGTCTTATTGGTACAAGAGAGTATTTATAAATACAATTGACGCCTTAACTACTTGCTGAGCAAGTGGCGAGAACCAAGACTAAGGTGGCGTTTGATTGCACTTTTCAAATGTCTGAATCTGAAAATGTTGTTTTTCAGACACCACTTGCGTTTGGTATGCCTTCTTATTACAAATCTGAAATTGGATTTTAGATCTTAATTTCTAAGAGGTGGAGCGGCTACTTAATGTGGTCAGACATAATTCAGAGGTGTGTAAAAGACATAAGTGACCTTAAAAAAATTTTAATATTACATGTTTTGTCCTTCATCTAACTTGAATCGAACTCTCATTGTGACCTAACAAAGCTCCACTGCCACCACCGTCATTGCACTCTCTCTATCTCTCTCTCATGTATTCCCGCCACCGCCGCTGCAACTTGTAGTGGCTCTCTCTCTCTCTCTCTCTCTCTCTCTCTCTCTCTCTCTCTCTCTTTCCCTATCTTCCCGCTTCTTGCCACCAGTGAAAAGATTCTTGTGCGAGTCTTGGCACCTAAACTGAGAAGAGGATGCCCCATATTGGATGTCTGCCTTCCAATGGGATTCTGGTTTAAAATTGAGAAACAAGTACCGATGGACGATCGTTGTTGTTCAGGTCTACCTAGCTGGCAGAGAAGACAGAGAATAGGGGGTCTGTGACCTACCTTGGGGCACTGCAACTACAGCGGAATCTGACGGGCGAACAAAAATAGGGAGAAGAGAGAGGTGGAAGGGAGAGAGAGATATGATGGGCAAACAGAAGAGGGAGAGAGTGGAAGAGAGGGACGGGTGGAGAACTGCCGCTGCTTGAAATTGCAGTGGCGAGATGGGGGAGGGCGAATTGTTAAGGAAGAAGGAGGAGGAGAAGATAAGGAAGAAAGAGTTAGAGAGAGACGTCGGCGAGAAAGGAAGGGAGAAATGGCCTAGAGAAGACGTGTAGCCGCTGTCGAGTTTGAATCCGTCGCTGTAACACTTGCAGCGGCGGTGATGAAAATAGGAGAAGAGGAGGAAAATGCCAGGAGGAAGAAGAAGAGGAAGGAGAGGGAGAGAGAGAGAGAGAGAGAGAGAACGGACGGAGACCTACTATTGGTTTGCCACCGCTGTCGAGAGGAAGGGGTGAGTGCACAATGTCGAACAGTGTATTCCGGTGAATCTGAGAAGGTGAAGAAGAAAGAAAGAAAAAAGAATACAGAGGAAAGAAGGAAGAGAGAAAGAGAGGGAGGCCGAAGATGGGGGTTTGCAGCGACAATTCTCTCTCTCTCTCTCTCTCTCTCTCTCTCTCGCTCCCTGTCTTCCTGCCATCGCCACCGCCACTACAACTTCCAACAGTAGCAGTTGGGCGAGTAATAATATTAAAATAATAATAATTATAAATTATTTTACTAATTATTAATAATTTTAATCTTTTTATTAAACATTAATTATTTTTATTAACTAGTAATCTTTAATTATTTTATTAATTTTTATTTATGTAAATTATTAATTATTAATTATTTTAATATTTTTATAGTCATTAATTATTTTTTTATTTTAATTGTTTCATTTATTAATTAGTAATTATTAATTTATTATTTTTATTTGTATTGTTTCAATATTATTTTTTAGGTTGAAAAATATTTTTTATGAGATAATGCAAATTTAACTCAACATTTCCAAATAGTATATTCTAGGGGTAAAATAGTAAAGTCAGTAAATTTCAGATGGTAAAGGGTTGATCCAACACAAACAAACTTATGGATTCAGAGCCTGTAAAAAGTAGAAAAGCAAGTATGCTTCTTTTCATATTTCAGACAAAAAATACCTTTTTTAACTTTTCAAATCTAAAATTTTAGATTTATCAAACGTCACTTAAGATCAAGAAATGGATGCTAGCTGGAGAAGTTAGTTGGCACATGATCTTGAAGTCGTAATAATAAAAGTGGAAAAGAAGGGAAAAAAAAACACACATTCAGCAAGAAGATAACAAGTTAGTTCCAAATGTTTTAGATGGATGACAAACTCTTCATATCCGCTATCTATCATTTATTTGTGGTTGGTTGGAATGTGTGGATTGTGAAGACTGAAGATGATGGAGGTATAACCATGTGGCTTTTTGTGTAAATATTGGAGCCCTTAGTCTTGAGTGTTGTTTGTGTTAATCAAGTGTTTCATCTCTTTTTTTTTTATCTGTTACCTTATGCCTGTTAGTGCTGCCTTTAAAGTTGCAAGCTGTAGTTTGATGAACTCCGATATATATCATATCTTCCTACTCCTTTGATATTTGAAATTGAGCCAATAACACCTCCGAAGCATATATTCCTTATGGCTTCTAATGTCGCGCAACCTGGATGCTCCCTCGTGTGCGGTGACTCGCACTCCGACTGGAAGTCTATCTGGTCGGGCTGAGCTATGAGGGTCGAGTTGACGTTTGGATGACCGAGTTGATTTATGTTACAAGGAGTAGAAGGTGAGAGTGTCCGGGTGTCTTTTACCTGGGGAGGGCACTCCAATGCTTAAGTCAGTAGGTATTCGAGAATTCTTAAGAGGTGGAGAGAGCTCTAGAATGTTTAGTGTGCATACCTTTTTGAGTGGGATCGGGCGCCTTTAATAGGTCCCAGGGCTCAGGGTCCTCTAGGGAACGGTCTTGAGCTCCCTGTGGGGCCGTTTCCATTTTTCCTGGTGCGTTAATGTGTTAGTTGCGAGTTCTTCGTGGCAATTACAGTTTGTTTGAGTAAAGTCGAGGCATGCGACATGGTGAGACATTCTAACGATTGCGATAACAGCGCCTTTGGTAGCGAACTGCTAGGGACGGGTAGTGAGCTCTCCCTTGCAGGTCACCGTAGCTCCTCTTAGCTCAGCCGGCTCGTAGGACAGGTCACCGTAATCTTACGAGTTCTACCAGCTCAGCCTTACCGAGGTGGAGTTTGGGTTGAGCGAGGTGTTCCAAGCTAACTTACTGAGCTGGTCCGCTGACTCAATGTCGGGGTGTCAATCGGGGGCCATGTGTCGCCACTTGATTGGGAGGACCAAATTATCCCTCATCAGCTTCCTCTGTCGTCCATGCTCTCACTTGTAATGGTTTTACACTAGCCACAGCCAGATTGTTGGAGTGATCATAACTAATTCAAAGGGTTCAAGAGCCGACCAAGAGTGGAATCAAATCATTGCCACCCCAGTAGGGGTGTCAATGGACCGGTTTTGGGTTTGACTCCTGCCAAATCAAAATCAATTTGGATGGATTGAATGGACCAATAAGACATATTGAATTTGGATGGATTGGACGGAGTGATATGACATATTAGATTGGACTTGGTCCGTCCATAATGAATTTATATTGGATTGAGCCAATATATGATCCATTTATAGAAGATAAGAACATAGGTGTCAATGGACCGATCCAAAATGGTCCAAAATATTCATTGTACTAGATTGGACCAGGTCCATTTGTAATGAACTCACATTGGCTGGATCAGATTGCACCAAATCTAGTCCAATTGACACTGGTACACCCCGATACATCAAACTGGAAGAATGAAAACCCACGTACAAAACAGTAACCAAGGCCAGTTGCCCCCCGTGGTAATAGTTGTCTGGTGCTGTCTTTTGCACGCAGAGAATGGGGCATATTCCAGGTGGTGAACCATGTATGGCATCCCAAGCGATTGAATGAAATCAATTATGAGGGTTTCAAGAGCCTTCTTCAACCCACCCATGGCGGAGAAGCTTAAGTACGCCAACAAAATTCGGTTTGGAGGAAGCTGCCAAGGAGACTAGAGAGTAGCTAGCTTCCGGAATACTTGCCACCATTTCATGGTTACGGCTACCAGTGTATAGTGAATGGCTGGTGGGATGCTTGGGTTAGGGCTTGGAGGAGAGGAGGTCTCTGATGTTGTGTTTGGTTTGGAGGAAAAAAGTAGGGAAAGGAAAGGAAAGGAAAGATAGGGAAACTTTTACAAACTTTGTACGGGCCTATCTTTCCCTTCCTTTCCCTACCTGGTGAGGGAGTTCGAATGATTTTGTCTTTTTTGGGTGGTTCAGTTAACAGCTGAACACCCATTAACTTCACCGTTTGCTCACATTTCCAATATGTTGCATTTGTATTGGCGGGTTCACGCTTCCTGTGCACAGGATGTGAACTTAGTGCCTCTTATATGTGATGTGACAATATGTTATTCCCTATGCCATGAAACATTATCTATACTAGCTATAAGAGTGAATGTCCTTCTTTCTGGAATTTTCATTGGACATCTTTTACCCCTTATCTAAACAGCATATAATGGGCATAAAGAGGGTATATATGTCCTTTACTCTCACTCTAAAAACTATCCACTCATAATTGTTCAAAAAATGCCTATGAATTATAAATAGTTTTATCTTAGAGATACTGCCACATGCAAATACGTGTATATATTTACTAATAGCTTAAAACATCCCAATACCAAAAGCCATGCAAAATATTGGTAATAGGAGATTAAAAGGTCTTGGGATGTCAAATTAGTTGGACTGGTCATATGCTTAAAATACAGATCTATCGCTATTAGCCTTATATGGCAACAATTAATATTAGTAGTTGAAAACCAATTATGAACGCATGACAAAGTTTTTGGGGGTCAAGATTTGTTTTGTGCATAGAGGGTGGAAAGAAAAATAGTCCTTTCTAGACTCTAGCTAATTTACCATATTAAAGATTCATCATATAATTCTTTACTAGAAAAAACTTTTTTCTTGATATCTATTATCATTAAGTAATTAATAAAAGACACTTGTTATATATCTATGTATGGTTTGAAGTATATATATCCCACAAGAGCTTCCCGTAGAGCTAAAAATCAAGCAATTCATTTGGAGGCATTGTTTGAATGGAATTGCAGTTAAGAAGGGAAGTCCATTCTTCATGCCCTCCTTCTCTTTGAAAAGGCCAAATGCATTTGGCCAGGCTCAGGGGTGGGAATAAATCCGGAACGAAGTCAAGGCTTTAGTTTGTTTGGAAATTGGTTTAATAACTTGCTGTTATCTCTTGGAATTGGTTAATATTTCTTTGACTGACTTTATGGTTTATTTGAAAGATAGAAATGGATTTTATTTTGAGATTTTTTTTTATACTTCCCCCTTTGTTGTAATTGGCTCTATTCGCATGTCAATTGAGGTTAGGGAAATCTCTTTTCTTGGAGAGGAGATTGGTAAGTTGTTCATAGGGCATGGAGTCAGGAAGGTCTCCTTCCAACCACCTTCAGTTGGTTTTTGTAAATGTAATGTCGATGGTAGTTTTTGAATTCAAGCAAAACTGTTGTTGGATTTATGTTTTTAGAGATTATGAAGGTTTGTGTTGGGGAATTGGATGTGGGGCTTCTAGTGGGTGAAGCAAAAGTTTTGTTTGAGGCTGTTTTATTCATTGTGAACATCAATTTAGACAATATTTTGTTTAAAACTGACAATTCCCAGTTGGTTTCCTATATTCATGGTGAACAAGACTCTTGGCATCAAGATATCTTTTTTATTGGCAAGGATATAAAGCTCTTGTGTGCAGGTAAGTCAGTTAATTTTCTTTAGGCTGTACGTAGAGGGCAAAACCTTATATTTTGTATGTATTTGCACTGTACATATTTATATTTGTACGAGGCTTAGTATTGTTTTGTTTGGTCTATTTTCAAAGGATTTAAAAATAATTAGGAGTAAAACAAAATATAAATGCAATGCAAATTTAATAATAATAATAATAATAATGAAACTCAATGTATCCCCCCTTTTGTTACCTTAATTCAATAATTCATAACAAATGGGAAATTTAGGAGGATGTAGCCCATAAAATTAGAGGAAGGCCAAATGGAGGAATGCATTTAGAATTATATATTATAGATAAATACCACTTCATCTAGAAGGCAAATATTATTGAACAATTAATAAGATCAACTACATCGTATGGAATAGAGTGTTGAGAAGTTAGAATCAGCATATCTAAAAATTGAATATAGCAAAAATACAATTGCTCAAATGGATGTGGTAATTCTTAAGTTGAACAGGGTTAGAAATAAAGTTATTATGAAGGAATAAATGATAAAGACCATCTATGACAGAAAAAGTGATAAGTTACAAACTTAAAGAACTAGAAAAAGTAATTCCACTTGTAGTAGGACAAAGCTTAGATATGATGATGATTTTTATATGATATGTGGTACAAGTGAAATAGCTGAGTATCGTGTTGTTTCCTTCCATAAATTTCAACCGCATTTCTATCACTTCCCTACCAAAAAGCAGAAAAATAATTATAAAGAGAATTTAGCTACCATTTTGGACCAATTCAGAGACTGTCCAATCTGTTCTAATCTGGTCCATTGACACCTATGTTCTTATCTACTATCCAGGTCTAATCCAAAATGCCATATTGATCCGGGTCCGGTCCATCCAAATTCAATGTCTTATTGATCCAATAAAATCTATGATATTTTATATTATCCAATAAAAAGGAAAGAACAAAATTTTAGAGATAACTTCTTTTATGTGCTTTGTTTCCAATTATACATTCTCAATATATATTTTACAACTTATTTACAATCATTTAAATTTAATTTTGTATTTAATATTACTATTATATTTAAGCCCAAATACCTTTATGCCAAAAACTGCGAATTTGGGTTGCGACGCGAGGATTTGCAATTACATGAATTGAATTTCTGCAAAGAAGTTCGAGATCTATAATGCGTTAAACAAATAGTCTGGTTCCTTAGGCCCTTGCCTCTTTTAGGTTTAGAGAATTTTAACGAAAAACTTAGCCGAGGGCTGACGCCCAAGCGCAAATGGATGAGGAGTCTTGTGTCTGCATTTCATTTGATGCCAAATATCCCATCAACAGATTTCGCAATGGATCAGTTTATGTCGATAATGGTGGAACGCTCATCTAAAACTTAAGCTCGACCCCAGAGTCGAAATGTCTTCAACACCAATTCCCTGTAGCCCTCCATATCATGTTTATATGAAGCTCTAAAGGAGTCCAGTCCAGTCCAGAGTACCAGACAGTTTTGGGTTGAAAATGTAGACACCGATAGACGCAAGCTGAAGGGAAATCAATGCAGCAAGCCTGGAAGGTGACCTTCTATCAATATCTGAGAAGGGCCTCTAGAAAAGGCTAAATCCTATGCCATTTCCTCTCTTCTTCCCTTCTCAAAATAAACACCTTTCTTTATTCTAATAACGGAAGATTGAAATTACTTTTTTTCAGTTTTCTATAAAGAAAAAGAAGAAAAAGGAGAAGAACAGGGAAATGAATGTGAGAAGTTCGGTAAGCAGATTAGTCGACTGAGAGGGATCTCACGACAACCGGCCAGTTAACTTCTCTCCCGTTGATCGATTTAGCTACAGCCACTTTGGCGATTCAAGAACAAGGGTATACCGCACCCTTCTCTTGGTACATGTAGCATCGCGCATAAATCAAGGCACAGACACAGTTGGAAACGAAAGGTAAATCATCTTCGATCAGAAGCAAAAACAACAGCACAGAGCAAGGAATTCATCATGCCCTCAATACCAATTACCCATAACTACGAACTCCAAAAGAAGTCGGAACCCTAAACCCTCTAATGAACAGAGATAAGATGCGCGTTTAAGAGATGTGAAAAACCCTAAGCACGGCACGATTTATATAGTGTGACTATGTGGGGTTCTTGCATTTTAAGTAACCTGACTACAGCTGTTTAACCATGGTTCAGCTGGGTGGGGTTGGGGTGCTGGTTATTGCTTTTGGCTGTCCACTACACTGGGCTGTCCACTGGAGGAACGGAATCTGTTCCTCACACATGGGCGCCTCACAGACATAATTACCGTACATTGATAATAAGGAAAAAGTATGAATACATACAATGCAGAATTCTGAATTTCAGCCACCCCCTACAACTAGCCTTCTTCCCCCCTATAAATCACATCCTGCCCATGAATTTGTCATCAATTCACGGTATGCATTCCTCCTGTACTTTGTGACCAGTAAACTCTGAACTGGACTGATCGGTACTTCTTCCAAATATTTTTTGTCAATAATAATTTATAAGTACGAGAGATATTCCCAATGCATGTACACCTACATCTACTCTACTGAGATGTAGATAAGATGTACGATTTATATAATGTGATTTAGTGCTCGTATTTGGGGTTATTTTCATTCCAAAAAGTATTTAACTCCCAAAAATGGCAAACTTAATATCTATCATTACCAATTCATCATTTATTTGGATCATGTAATGATATGTATGATTTAAATTTTTTAAAATACTAAAACTACTTTTTTTTTAATATTTTTATGACTATTTTATCTTGATTGCCTTTATCAGCAAGAGGGCATAGTAAGAGTTACTTGTCTTCTCCCCTCTTTGTTATGGATTGAATAATTGAAAAAAGGATTACAACGATAATAGTCTAAATCCCTTGGATGTCTTCTCTAACATGTTTTTTCGTGTAGTTTCTCCAACAGGAAGCACCAGTTCTTCAACATAAGGTGAATAGTGATGCCCAATTGCAATGAAAAGGGAGTTAAACATGACAATTTTGTGCATCTATTCAAAACTCAGGGTATTTGTGTTCTTTCACATGCCATATATAATCGGCATCTGTTAACAATTTTGGACTAAATTGACAATTTTCAAAAGATCCAGTATTACAGTGGTATGTTTTGAAGTCTAGGTACTAAAGTAAAACTAATCCAAAGTAAGATACTATTATGCAATTTTTGCCCAAAAAAAAAATTCTCTTGCAGGACAAGTTAGTCCATCCAGTCCAGCTATGTATGGAGTAATCTGTCATGCAGAAGAACCCTGTTGAAAGTGGACAGCCAAAAAAAAAAATTGTAACATTCAATCCTCAGAAGGTCAGTTGTTCCAAGAACAAAAAAATTGAAACACACTTGCTTATTTCTGTGTGTTTTCTGGGTAAAGAAATACTAGTTGCTTCTGGGTAAAGCACAATGTTTCGTGAATGACCACCCTTCATACAACGTACAATAATATAACTCATAAATATGCAAAAAAGGAAACCAGAATTGAAGATAAAAGCAGTCCTCCAAGTTTCATAAAAATAGTTCCATCCATAAAAAAAAAAGCATCAAATTTCAGTGTTTCACACGCAGAATATCAAATCAAGTGGCGAATTTGGATGTGCTGCCACCCTTAAATCAATGTATCCCCTCATCTTTATACTAAAAGCAAGATGGGCCAATCTTGGATTTTAAATCTGTCCAAATGTTCTAATTCCTAGAAACAACAACAGGAAAAAGAAAATTGGCCAATAGTCATAAAGTGTTCTGCTGCTATGAATCTATGATTTTCATATCGTCCAACCAGAGACACTTGAACAAGGAAATCTCTTTGGGGTTGGGTTGTACCCTGTTTGCCAAATGCCTGATATCCCATAACCTGTAAAACTTTGATCATAAAATTCACACAGCTCTGCTGAACAAACAAATAGACCCAGTAGCTCTGTTGGATGAAGTTCTGGGTCCTAACTATGTGCTTGTTTTAATCTCACATGCAATCTCCGACCAGGTTTCCTTCAGCTGTATACATTTGGGTTTTCTCTACTTCGGATGAGAGGTACACCATCTTCCCTCCAAATTATCCGCTCTTCACATAATGCTGCAGTGGCTTCCACGTACAATTGATGCTCCTAAATAGAAAATTCAAGTGTTCAAAGGAAGAAAAAACCAAGCAGAGAAAGAAATTAATGGTGTCACTCTAGAAAAATTTAATACTTCCACCAATCAACAATCAAATGAGTGGACCAGGCCATCTAATAACAAAACCAATCCTAATCACCCTCATTACCTCATGAAGGACCCTTGCAGCCAGCACCTCTGCCGTATCATTTGCCAGAACAGGTACTGCCTTTTGAGCAAGAATACGACCAGTATCATAATGTTCATCAACAAAATGGATTGTGGGACCTGAATATCTGGCCATGGAAGAAGATAAAACATGACAAACCCATTTGTAGATGCAAAAGGACTAAAGTAACAAATTGTTATTGTAGAGAACACTGATGTGGGCCCCACGGCTGTGGTCCCCACTGTGTTCGTACGACAGCACATGTAACCTTTGATTAGTTTGTTAGTGTTAGTTGGTAGTTATCTTAGACAGCTTGTTATCTCAGTTACTTATTTGTTTTATTTGTCATGTAAGCATTAAGGGCAATTCTGTCCTTTCCTACATTTAGTGAACATAAACTATAAATAGAGAGAGTGGCGGCGGCAGATTCATTCGATCTGTCCCTCCTTTCAAAACCCTTGTGTACTTCTGCTTCTTCTCCTTTCTTCTTCCTCTTTCTTCTACTTTTCTCAATCTGAAATTTGTTGGAATTCAAGACTGACTGTAGTCTTGATTGACTACTTGGTATCAGAGCCTATCTAGGGTTTCTCATGTGAGTCTAGTCCAACCGACCACACGAGAACTGTCTAGGGCTGGAAGCTTACAAAGGACTGTTCGTTGGCTGATTCTTGGAGGTTACCAGAAAAGTTTAGCAGCTGTTTGAAGACTTGTCGAGGCTTGCAGAGTGTTTTTGGTAATTAGGAAGAATCAGAGAAGGTTAGGGTTCAGGCCACAATTGAAGGTAGTGATCAGAGTTCTCTGGGTAAGTCTTTATTTTTCCCTTGAGATTGCTGTCAGTCAAGATAGGTTGGACCTATCTAGGAGGAGCGGCCGAACTCTCCTATTTTCTCTCAGAGGTGATCAGTTTT